GAGGGTTGTGATCCGTTGCCGGACACGAAAAAAGACAAAAAGGAAAAAAAAAAAAAGAAGACTTTCAGCAACATCAGGGAGGAAGGCCGAGGCTGGTGTCCTGTGGAAGGCGAGCTGCTGTGTTGTCCTGAGACCAGGGGGCCTTCCCCAGGCAGCACTAAGCCTGTGCACACAGCAACCCCACCCATGGACTCTGCTCCCAAGGGCCCCCACCCATGAATGTGAAGCTCGGGCTGTTGGGCCAGCAGAGCCTCCACCACATGGCTGCTGAGGTGCACAAACACTGAGAGAGAAGGATACGTGCACGGGATGCCTTGGGGTGGGGTGGGGGGTATTTATGGAAACAAAATTTTACACTTGAGAATGTGAGAACATAAACCTGAAGGAAACCAGCGTGAGATATCCTAGGATCACACACTGTGGGGTGGGAGGAGATCGTGTCGTCCAACTCTGCATTTTACGTAAAATCAATCTACGAAGAAAGCAGAAAGGAGTTTTAGGGGACATCTTTGGAGAGAGGGTGTCTGCCCAGGATTCTGACTGAGAGCTTCCCTGGTTATTGGCCTAAATCGGTTGACTTGCCCATTGTTTTTGACTGAGGTCTCTCACCTTAGATGGAGAATCATTTCTTTCCAAACGGTTAGAATTGCCCATCAACAGGACTCCCTGCAAGAGTCAGGCTGGGAAATTCAGGAGAATCAGATTGTTGAACCAATGTGTCCACAATGACCACTCCCCAGGGGGCACCGAAAGCTCGCAACATCTGTTTCTCTGCCTTATCCTGCAGGCAATATTTCCCCCACATTTTGTAAAATAAATAATTCACAATATAATGAAAAACCCAGGCAAGGACAGGTGCTGGCTTGCAAATGTGCTCTGTCTGTTATCAGTGACTCATAAAACTCACATCTGCGGGTCATTCCCAGGCTAAGGGGCGCAGCAGAGAGTGTGGAATGCTGAAGCAGCAACCCGGGCAGAGACACGCCCGCACCCACCCCTGATATATTACGTTTGTCTTTATAAATAGAGCAGCCTGACTCCAGTGGCCACCATAAGAAAAGGCCAATGGTTGAGTTCTCTTTTCCTCAAATATCTACACAAATCCTCAAAAATCTACCAAATTATATCCACTGGCAAACCAGACACTTCTTTATGAGCTCTCCAATTGCCATGATGGCCAACGGCCAAGTCTCAGCCAGACCCAAATACCCACCCCTATTAAATAATCCACTTTGCATTAGGCTTATGACAGAATTCCTTTAAATAAAAAGCCCAATTAATATGATATTTCAAGGTCATGTGTGTCACATAAAATGGACCAACTAAGACCAATAAATGTGGGCCGGTTGGCGTGGCTGTCTTGACTCCCCAGTTACCAATGTGACAGCTTGGTGATCACCTTCTGCTGGACAAGACTCTGAGCCACGTATGTGGCTTAATGTGGGAGGCAGTATCACATGAACTGAAGAACTGGGTGTCCCACAAAGCTTATCTTTTAGCCATCTTAGGAAATTTGGGTTTAAATTCCCTGTTCCCCTCCACTGTCAAAAATATATTACTTTTGATCAATCACATCAGACCACTCTGGTTAGATGACTGTGACCCCTGGGGGGAAAAACAACTGGAGCAAACAGATGAGTAACCCTTGAGAAAAACCAAAGGATGATGAACCGGCGTGGGTCACACTTCCAGGAAGCCTTTACAGCTCATCCCTCGAAGGCACAGTGTCCAGGGAGGTTGGCGGCGGCAGTGCCTCTGTGTTCTTGGCATTGCTGTGAATGTGACCTTGCTTCCGGGACTTCCAGGAATGTGTCCTGTCCCAGTCGGTGGCCATGGTCTCATTGTCCCAGATGGTCAAGGTCTCCGTGTCACTCAGATACCCCAGCTGGCCTGTGTAGTGTGTCGGGTAGATGAGCAAAGGTTCTGCAGAGAAGGCCTTCAAGTCCCTGGATCCACAATGCTCCTTGTACTATTCCCAGGCTAAGGGGCGCAGCAGAGAGTGTGGAATGCTGAAGCAGCAACCCGGGCAGAGACACGCCCGCACCCACCCCTGATATATTACGTTTGTCTTTATAAACAGAGCAGCCTGATTCCAGTGGCCACCATAAGAAAAGGCCAACGGTTGAGTTCTCTTTTCCTCAAATATCTACACAAATCCTCAAAAATCTGCCAAATTATATCCACTGGCAAACCAGACACTTCTTTATGAGCTCTCCAATTGCCATGATGGCCAATGGCCAAGTCTCAGCCAGACCCAAATACCCACCCCTATTAAATAATCCACTTTGCATTAAGGCTTATGACAGAATTCCTTTAAATAAAAAGCCCAATTAATATGATATTTCGAGGTCATGTGTGTCACATAAAATGGACCAACTAAGACCAATAAATGTGGGCCGGTTGGCGTNAGCCACGTATGTGGCTTAATGTGGGAGGCAGTATCACATGAACTGAAGAACTGGGTGTCCCACAAAGCTTATCTTTTAGCCATCTTAGGAAATTTGGGTTTAAATTCCCTATTCCCCTCCACTGTCAAAAATATATTAATTTTGATCAATCACATCAGACCACTCGGGTTAGATGACTGTGACCACTGGGGGAGAAAAGAACTGGAGCAAACAGATGAGTAGCCCTTTAGAAAAACCAAAGGATGATGAACCGGCGTGGGTCACGCTTCCAGGAAGCCTTTACAGCTCATCCCTCGAAGGCACAGTGTCCAGGGAGGTTGGCGGCGGCAGTGCCTCTGTGTTCTTGGCATTGCTGTGGATGTGACCTTGCTTCCGGGACTTCCAGGAGTGTGTCCTGTCCCAGTCGGTGGCCACTGTCTCATTGTCCCAGATGGTCGAGGTCTCCGTGTCACTCAGGTACCCCGGCTGGCCTGTGTAGTGTGTGGGGTAGATGAGCAAGGGCTCTGCGGAGAAGGCCTTCAAGTCCCTGGATCCATAATGCTCCTTGTACTCGGCTCTAAACACGAGAGACGCGTGGGCATGTGGGAGGGCAGAAGCTCACAGGATGGGAACAAAGCGTGGGGGAGAGCAGCCTGTTCTCTCTCAAAAAGTGTTCTTTGTGCAAAACGTTAGTCTACAAACACAGTAAAGCTTCTTTAAAAGCTTTCAGAAGACTTACGCAAATAAGCCAAAAGGTCATAAGAGTTTCGTTGCACTTGGATAGACTAGTTAAAGGATGAATTTCAGGTCTTACTCTACAAGTTAAAGATTAAGCTCTGTTGGACCATAATGATAACTAAGCGTGATCCTTTTTCCAAAAAATGCCCTGTTCCTGGATTGCTAGATTAGACACCTGAGACCTGGACAGCAGTGATGGGAAGTGAGGCTTGGAGGGATTCCACCTTTGCTTTGCATTCTGGCTCCAGCAGATGTAAAGTAGGGGGATAACTGGCCTCCCTCCCACGGTTCCTGTGCAGATTATATGAGGTGACATTGTGTGGCTCCTAGGTCCATGAACACATCGTCAGTATTAATTTCCCTTCTGTTTAGGGGATAATGGTTTGACCTTCATGTCTCTGCAGGGACACAGAGATAAAGTCAGTCTCTCGTATGTTGTATAAAAGAGGGTGAGAAGCTCCTTGTTAACTAAGGCCAGGAAAAAGGAAATGTACAGGATACAGCATGCGAAATGTCATCACCTAAAATGAAGATCATCTAGTGAGGAGATCACCCAGCAACGGAGAGGAGGAGCTGAGGTTAGAACCCGGCCTCCTACTCCATTCATGAGCTTAGAAGTCATTGACTGAGTCGCTATGATGTGTAGCATTTGGACTAGGCTCTAAGGACACAGAGACGTTAAGATTATTCCTGACTTAAAGGGTTCATAGTGTATTTGGGAGACCGATGGACAAACCATCAATGACGACACCTGAGCATCACACTGCCTTCTTCTATGGATGCCCTGCTCAGGTGCCACCTCCACGTCCCCTGGACCACTCACACATCTCTGTGATCACCGGAATCACAATATGTCACAGTGATTTGTACATGAGTCTGGGTTTTCAACCAAGTTGCGAACTCTGCAAGGATGGGTCCCACTGCCTAGCCAACAGTACACACTAGGAACTGAGTCAAGGGAATGGAAAATTTGGGGTGTTTAGGAAGATAACCTTCACCTTGAGGCGTATGAGGTTATAGAAGCAAGAAGAGCAAGGACAGGGGAAGGCCACACAGACTACACTCAGTTAAACCATACGCTGGGTGTTATAAGGATGCCCTGGGAAAGGCACTCACCACCTCTGCCTCGTCTTCCCCGTCTGTAAAAGGGGATAACCACTTGAGTTAGCCTCTCTCAGTCAGGATTTCAGAAAGATCATTTAGGAAAGCAGTACCACTTTAGAAAATGTTAGGTCCTACCCAGAAACTGAGCAGTGTAATTCATGAACAGGCTGTGTGCAATGGGCAGACGCTCGGGGAGACTCACACAGGATGCTTGTTGTACATGATGGGCAGAAACTCGTCCACTGGCAGCATCTTCCCAAAAGGATTGGCTCCAACCAGCTTCTGTGCTCCTTCCAGAGAGATGACGTAGCCTAGGGTCCAGTAGGAATAGTCAGCTTCGACCAGATTTAGCACATTGGGCACTGCCTTCTCTGGCTCTTTTACTTGCATCCTCTTCCTACCAATATAACTACAAGGAAACAGGCAAAGGACAGAGATTCCAACTTGAGTATTAGGCATAGATAAGGACGCAGTGCAGCTTAGGTTTATGCAGACACCTTTGAAAGCTTGCGTCTTATGTTTGATGCATCACACCACAAAATGCATCTCATCGACAACCAAGACTGCCATCTGCCATCAATGGTGCCATTTCCTTGGCTGCATGTATCAGGACCCCAACTATTCCTGCCTAGTGGACTGTGTTCAAGCCAGAAAGTTAAAACGAATAGAGAGATGAAAAGATCTTTCAGATCATTTCCCAAAGATGGGTTGGGATCTCTAGCTGTGTACACAGAGGTTAGAAAGGGTCCCAAAAGGCCGGATGTGAGAATTTGGAGGTGGTTGTCTTCAACTCCCCAGAGTTCCAGCCTCAGATGCTTTTTGGCATAGCTCTCCAAATGCTGGTGGTAAACACGGGACAGAAAACTGTAGGAAAGAAACAGTCTGCAGTAAAGGACCTACGAATTCAAGAGCAGCCCCTAGGGTTTCATTCTGGGGAGTGTGAATGACACGCCCAAAAGTCTTCCCCCCCTCACACCCATCCAGCTGCCCCTGCTTCCTCCTGGGCACCCTGCTCTCAGTGCCCTCCTGCAGCACAGGTGCCCCTTCTGCCCTGCCCGCCTTCCTACTCCACGCACGGATCTGTGATCTGTTCCTGTTGTCTGGTACCTGTTTGATTTTGCTTGACGAGAGCAAGTTGAGGAGCTGCTGATCCTGCCTGCCAGGTAAAGCAGTACTGGTCTATTTTGCCCTGAAACTGTCTTTTTCAACATTCAAGGGATTCTCCTCTGTCAAAGCATCCCAGCATCTGTGGAACAAGTTGATATTCAACCTGCAGTTCTTCTGAGGATGTCAAACATATGTCCTCTCCGTCACCTCTTTTCAGACTAACGAGTCTAAATTTCTCTAATATGAAATGTGGCTCAAGTGATTGAGCAACTGAGTTTGAACTCACATTTACTTTAATTAACTTAAATTTAAATGTAAAAGTTGAAGCTGTGTGAAATATGGTTTTCCATGAAACCAGTTTATTGTTTTGGTAGGGCTACAGTTTAACAGTGGAAAAATTAGCTTCTTGATTGAGATGTGTTCTTTTTCTTATTTTATTTTACTTCTCAAAATACATTGTACTTGATTTTCAGGCCCCTTTACCCGTTCTTCTCCCCCCCTCCCCGAGATGTGTTTTAAATGTAAAATACACACAGGATTTTGAAGACTTAGTACAAAAAAAATGTAAATAATCTCATTAATGGTTTTTAAATATTAATTACATGCTAAAATAATAATATTTGGATATGTTGGATTCAATAAAATATATTATTAAAACTAATTTCATCTAATTTATTTTTACCCTTTTAATGTGATTACTAGAAAATTTAATATGACATATGGGGTTTGAATTATATTTCTGTTGAACAGCACTCCATAGATGATTCCAGTGACTTGTTCTATTCTTCCCATTTACTATTTCCTTTTTATGGAAAAATTTAATGTAGCAATGATGGACAATTAATTAGTTTTCATGTTTTGGGCTTAAGTAGCATTTGTTTTTTCTTCGTTTTAGAAAATGAGAGGTAAAATTTGAAACTGCTATAGTTCTTTAAGATTATATAATATTTTAAAATGGAATATTTTTACTATACCAATCTGTGAAATTTAAAAAACATTATTTTCCTATATCCGTATCAGGACAACTGTCCTTGGATCTATCGGTACTTTGTCCTGAGAAATGCACCAACCAGGCCACATGGGGACAGGGATGTATCCTGATTCTAAGCCTTAGGCTCCCTGAGTTGCATCTTCTGTGATTATGAGGCTTAAGTGAAAGTTGTCTTTACACATGTCACATGGGCATAAAGTAACTGCCATGCTCCATGCCCAGGAGAACTTAACCACAGGCTACAGAGCCATAGGTTTAGAAAGGCTGAAGTGCAGAGACTTCTGGAGGATATATGAAAAAACTGTGATCTCAAGGGACGGTGCAGAAGACCAGATCTAATCACATGACTAACATCTGACAGGGAGCAGGTCTCTTTTTACTGTATGGTAATGATTTCTGGGTCTATTTTCCATTAGTTAGTTGAGCCATTACAGGTTTCTTCTGAGCTAAGAATGGTCCATTTTCTGAGAGATCAAGTATTCCGCCTGGACCCATGGTGAAGTTTCCCTCGAGGA